TGAGTGTTGTTTTTCAACTTGCAACTATTTATTCAAATTGATGCATTGTCCGTCCAGTCTCTAATTTCATAGTACTATGATAATATGATCATGTGTTTATAGTGAACGAAGTGGCAAATGAGCCGGTTGGCTTTTTATTTGTGTTTGGTCGATTTCGTGCAAATTCAGCTATCTACAACCCATTCTGCCACAATCTGAAATGTTACTCATGAGCAGGAAAGCAATAAAAAAAATGTGCACAAATCTTCACTTTCGGCGTTCGCTGAGAAGCGTGACTAGGCCCGGCCCATTGAATAAAAGGAGAGCCAGAGAAAAATGAAGGTAAAAAAACGAGTCACCAATTTTACTGTTTGAGTGGTAATGAAGTCTGTGCGTGAATACAAGTATTTAGACTGCATGATTTTCAAAGTCAGTAGTTTCCTCCTAAGACTTTTCGCTTGGAACAAACAGGCAGCATTAGAGAGAGAGAAAGAGAACTCGATCCGACAAAGTGGTACAGTGACGGGTTATATTCTGGATAGTGTTTTGGAAGCGGCTGAGATTTTGGGATAATATGTCCATAGATTTATCCATTCAGTTTTTCATGCTAATGTATGCACAGGAGAAAATATTCAGACTGATTGGTGACAGTTGTTGCGGGGTGAATTGACACGTGGTTGTTAGACGAATGTAATTTAAAATCTAGGTCATGTAGAAATGATAACACGTTCAACGATCGGAAAAATTTACCGACACATCGGAACGAATGCGGGAATGCGACAGGGAAAAAATTGCTAGTCAACCAAACATGACCCTAGAAAGGGATACCTTATTTGAAGGAATTGGGATGACAATGATGGAGTTACATGAGAATGAGTAACCAAGTGTTCACTCGGAACCCTGGATCGTGTTGATTTCGGTAGCTTCAACAGGTGATTTGGGTCAGGGATTAATTATGGGCATTACATGCATGGATGGAGAATAATGCCATATTGGACATTGGACATTGGATAAATGAAAGTTTTCATAAGTGGGGAATATATTCCCCTCCTGAGTAGTGATAGGACAGACATTTTGGATTCGGAAAGGTCGGCTGTAGTTGATGATTACGTGCAAACCAAATGACGGCTATTGTGACGGTGCCAGTCAGTTGCTAGTTTATTTCCGATGCGGTCTTCATTGCTCATTCCAAGGCTCATTACCTCGTTCATCCCATGCAACAGGATCCGTGTGACCTGTGTGCCAAATTCCGATTCCATACTATAAAGTTGTTTCTGTTGTCATCCATCTGAGAGATGGTATGCGAAATCATTCTAGCCTAGTTAAAAAACCAGATACACGACACAAGGCCGCAGTTGAATGTTCAGACAAATCAATCAACTGTTTTTGCCAATTTAAATTTAGTCCACATTATCCGTGAAATCATTCACCTGTTGAGGGTCTAAATTGAACACCAAGTGTGGATTGTTGAATTTAAAAATGTGCGCTTTCAAACCTAGTTGCGATCTCATTTTTATGGCACTTAGTAGTGTATCAACAACACTCAAGGCAATAAACGTATCTAGAACAGAGTCGAAGAAACAGACTACCAAGCCTTTCACTGCCCGGATTGGTGTCGCGGGCTTTCCCCCCGAAGTGATTACACTCCCTGTCACTATGCCTAGTAGACTAACCGCCCTTAGTGCTCTTTGCATTCATCGATTTTCCTTCTACGTATGTGTTCGCCTGTCCCCATACGAAACGCGATTTGAATATATGAGCACAACTGATCAGATTATCACAAAATAATTTACACCAAAATATCCCGCGATCAGGATTCCTGTTTACTCATTCACGAATATTAGAACAACTGGAGCTGAAAGTTCAGAATGTTCCATGGCCATCCGATAGCTTGACTAGGGTTCGATAAAACAAAAGTTTCATGTACTATCGTGGATCTGACCCTAGAAAGACGCTATCCTGATTCTCCAAGAATGTGATCACACATGCAAGCCCTGAGAACTAGAATACCATCAAACGGAAATAGTGCTGAGTTCTTGGTTGAGTCTTTCTGGTTCGTAACAAATCGCATCATTATCAGAATCCTAAACCACTGGATTGACCCAGGATCGTCATGTATGCAAGTGAACAAAGGAATTGTTATTTAAAGGTATATTTACGCAACTAGAAAACTCTGAACCGGCATTTGTACGGCATCATCACCATGACGCCGCCACTCGACACAGCGTGAATTCACCATTATCCTACTGTTACTTCTTCCACTTCTTATCTTCCCACGAAGCAGCAGCCGCGGCGGAAGGGTCTCCTCGGACCGTCAGATAATCGTCATCATCATAGTGTTTCTTCTTCTTCCACTTCTTATCTTCCCACGAAGCAGCAGCCGCGGCGGAAGGGTCTCCTCGGACCGTCAGATAATCGTCATCATCATAGTGCTTCTTCTTCTTCCACTTCTTATCTTCCCACGAAGCAGCAGCCGCGGCGGAAGGGTCTCCTCGGACCGTCAGATAATCGTCATCATCATAGTGCTTCTTCTTCTTCCACTTCTTATCTTCCCACGAAGCAGCAGCCGCGGCGGAAGGGTCTCCTCGGACCGTCAGATAATCGTCATCATCATAGTGCTTCTTCTTCTTCCACTTCTTATCTTCCCACGAAGCAGCAGCCGCGGCGGA